TACAAAACATTACCATCAACAGTAATGTATATAAAAAATGTATAGGAACCATTTTCCTCGAATTAAATAAAACATAAAACTAACACATTACCATATTCCTATTTAGTGCTTATTCCACTTATCTTGTGCTCAGAAGTATTATTACATAAAATTAATCCATATACCATACTAACAAGATCACCAGGCATGCCAGTATTTTAATCCAACTTTTCCTCTAGAATTAAAGTGCATTATATTTATCCATATAAGTCATCCTAATTTTCTTATTTATATAGTACCATATCTTAATTAGCTGACTTCATGTGCCTTCATTACTGTGATATACATAACACAAATACAAAAACAAACACTACTATGCATTGCATACTCTACTTGGGGAGTATCAGTGGACCCTCTATTCCATTACCTTATATTAGAAAAGAAAGAAAAAAGCAAAGAGAAAGAAAAATAAAATATTCTAATTATTTTGTCCAGGACTTTGTGTGACCATACTCTCCATTTTTTCCTTCCAAAAATTACTGACATCTCTAATTTTTACTGACTGATATCCCAAGGCCTCCATAGTTAGTTGGTATTGGACTTGTGAGTATAATTGGACCTGTGTGAAATTCACACTACTCTTCCAATTCCTTGCAATTATTATTTTTATTGCTGCCACAAAGTGGACATATATAAATTTTTCTTTAAAATGGAGTGATTGTAAGTTTAAGTGGAATAGACCATTATGATGGCCTCTAGGGATGTTTGTCTCTGTAATATACTCCAATGATTCAAAGGCCATATACCACAAGTTTTTAACCTTGCTGCATTCCCACCATATATGTCCAAAAGTCCCTTCTTTTTCGTTACATCTCCAGCACAATGGAGAATTAGAGGTATACATTGTGGACAATCTGGTGGGAATTTAAATAATACCTCAAGAAGGCTCAAACAATGGATTATTTTACTTGTTTGAAATAATACTTGATCCCATTCAGTCTTAAAAATCTGTACATTTAGTTCTTTGCTCCATTTCTGAATATTTACATTCATATTTGGTGCTTCAATTTGAAGAAGAGCACTCCTTGCCTTTGAAACTATTTGCGGTACATTCTCATTTTTTAATAAAGCTATCAGATTTTCTATTCCCTCTATGGGTCGATGTAACAAAAACAGTTTGATAAAACCTCTGATTCTTAAATAATTATACCACTCCTGCCTAGGTAGCGAAAATTCTTGTATCAAATTTTCAAATGATTTAATTTTATCTCCCAATAATATTAGGTTTATAGAATTAATGCCTTTCCCTGTCCATTCACTTGTATTTAAATCTTTCATCCTTAATTGTATAATACTAAAGTTAGAGTTTCCCAATATTTTATTACATATTCCGCTGTTAATCCTCAACTTTTCCCACTCCATCAAAATTGATTTCAAGCAATTATTTGAAGAACAGACCTTCTTAATTCTGTCATCCTGTTTAGTTAACCAAATTAATTGATATACGTTTTCAGTTTCTACCATCTCCATTTCTAATTGGTACCAACCCGCTTCCTCAGAACTTAAGAGTTGCGTCTTGTATATATGGAGCATCATATTAGCTAAATAGGTTATATTGACGTTTGGAAGATTTATCCCTCCTTTCCTACTCTTCTGCATCAAAAGTTTTTTATTCATCCTCAGCCTTTTTTCTTACCATATGAAATTATTTATATCTCGTTGTATCATAGATAACCATGGTTGTGGCATTCTCAAGGGGATCATACGAAATAGATAGGACCATTTAGGGAGTAAATACGAGTTGACCAAATTGATTCTACCTCACCAGGATAGTTCAATTTGTCTCCATCTTTTTAGTGACTCATGTGTTGATCTAAATGTTTTTAAAAAATTTGTTTGCATCGTATCTTTTGAGTCATCAGTAAGCGTTATTCCAAAATAAGATAGTGTATTTTTATTACAATTAAATTTGTATTTATCTTTTATATATAGACTACATTCTCTGGAGATGTTTATAGCTAAAAAAGTAGATTTAGTTACATTTATTTTATTATTTGAGAATAGACTGTATTTGTCTGCCTCTTCCATCAAGGCACCAAGCGATTCAACAGGGTCGGTTAGGGTCAAAATCAAATCGTCTGCATATAAATTTAATTTAAATTCTTTCTCTCTGTATCTAAAGCCTTTTATTTGAGAATTATTTCTTATATTAATAGCTAGAATCTCCATTGTCATAATATATAAAATGGACAATAGGGGACAGCCCTGTCTCGTTCCATTTTTTTGTGTAAACCAGTCTGCACATATGTTTGGGGCCACTGTTCTTGCTTTTGGACCTTCATATAGTGCCAGAATTGCATTAAGCATCCATCCCTGTATGCCAAATTTTTCCATAGTTTTCTTTAAAAAGACCCAACCGACCCTGTCGAAAGCTTTCTCGGCATCTACTGCCAATATAAATAAAGGTTTTTTATTTCTTCGAGCTGCATCTATCAAATCCAATAATCTTCTAGTGTTATCTACTGGGTCTCTCCCCTGTACAAAACTGGTTTGACAATATTTAACGGGTTAAATCTGAGCCTCTAGCTGGCAGAGCTAAAGCTAGAAAGGATGCCAATTTATTCGCCGTTCATCTTAGGTCAATCTGATCATTGTCCAAAGAATTAAGTAGTTAAATAAAAGGTCCACATCCCAAACGGAAATGTATCTTAGAGTAAAAGGCCGGCAGACTGATAGCCCTTTGAGTAACCTGAAGTAAAGGGCGTCTTGGTTCAGATTAGGAATTAAAAAAAGTAATGCAGAACCATAGGTTGTAATCGTATAGACCGCAAACCCTGAATGATATTTTAGCATGAGGAATTCCAAAGCTAAGGGAATTGTGTCAGATTCATGGGAAAGGGAATTAAAGGAAACTTCCCACGCTTTAAATTCCTCGATCATCTGTTTGTATCTTACCCTGGTCCTGCGCCATAATGAAGAATTAACTATGTCCAGAACCCAGATAGAAGAGGATGCTTTAAAAGCCTACCTGGGCTGCTATCCACATAAATTGGGGGAGCTTGGTTAAGAGATCCCTGGTCCCTAGGAAGCAATCCGCTGTATAGCCTAATGGAACCTTTGGTCCCCTGATTATAGGTTGGATCAGGGGGTACCATGGTCTGGAGGACCAAATGGGGTACACTAAAACCAGATTGGGCACCCTGTCCCTGCAAAGTTTCTCTAACAACTTCATCAGAATAGATGTAGGGGGAAAAGCATAAAGGCCCGGAATGTCTGTCCATTGGAAGGACATTGCATCCATCTTCCAAGCTCCTTTTGCCCAAGTCCTGATTACAAATTTGGGAGTCTGAGCTGAGGTCTGAGATGCAAAAAGATCTATCTGTTTCTTGCCCAATCTGCTCTCTATCAGCCTAAATAAGGCATTCTTTAACTGGACTGTAGCCAGGGACAAACACTGGCGGGACAGGGAATCCACCAGTTCGTTTGCCTCTCCTGGTACGTGAACTGCCAAAATTTGAACTTTGTAAACCAGAGCCCAAGACCAGAGGTCCAAGGCCTCCAGGCCAAGACCTTTTGACCTTGTGTCCCCTCTGTGGTTGACATAAACTACCGCTGTCCTGTTGTCCGATTGAACCATTACCGACACACCTAGGGAGTTCAATGGAACGAGGCCTTGGAGGGCTAATCTGATTGCTCTCAACTCTAGTAAATTTATGTGAAGAAGCCTTTCTTGAACTGACCAAACTCCTCTTATTGCGCCTTGGGCAGAAATCACCCCATCTCTTGGTAGAAGCATCTGTGGTCAAGGTTAACTCGAAAGGCCCTTCCAGAAGTGGGCGAGGAAGTGCACTTGCCCCTTCCAATATCTTGTTTAGCTCTTTTCTGACACTCGTCTCAGTTGGCCACCTCGTCTCAGTTGGTTTCCTAGAAACAGCTGACTTCATCTGCACAACAAGGGAGAAGCATCGTAACCCGGTGTTAAAGCTATCAGCCTCCCAATAGTCTTTGCTATTTCTCTTAGGGTCCATCTGTGTTTTAAAAGAGCTGAAGTTAACTGAGCTAGGATTCTTTCCCATTTGTCTGGGGGAACAGACAAAGTCATATCCATAGTGTTCAGCATGAAACCCCAAAATAGGATATTCTAAGTAGGGACTAGGATGGATTTTTGCAGATTTACAATAAACCTCAGATCCTGTAATAAGGAAATCTGTCTGCTGAACGAGAGCATCTACCTCTGGTTTTAACAACAGGATGTTGTCTAAGTAATAAAGGCATATAAATCCTCTTTGCCTGACGTGGGAAATAATAGCTTTCATTATCCTGGAAAATGTGGAAGGTGTGTTGGATAGGCCAAACACCATTACAGTCCAGTGATATATCTGTTCCTTCCAGCGGAATCTGAGAATGCGTCTGTGTTTCATAGCGATAGGAACTTAATGGAAAGCATCTTTGATGTCTAATTTTATGCAGAAGACATTTTTCTGCACTAGGCCTGGGAGGTATTTTAAACCTTCCATCCTCAATCTTTTCCTCTTTAGGAAAGCATTCAAAGCCTTGACATTTAGTACTGGTCTCCATGTGCCGTCTGATTTTGGAATAGGGAACAAGGGACTGATCCAACCTGAAATTGACAAATCTGCCAATTCTATTTTTCCCTGAGCTAATTCCTGGGAAAGAGAGGAATCTAGAACTGGATTTACCTCTCTGCCCAGAGCTTGACTTTGTAAAGGAAACCAAATGAGAGGGAGTTGTAAACCCCTTTTGAAAATCTGAAGCACCCATTTGTCCAAGGTTATATCTGACCAATTTTGAGAGATGTAAGGTAAACCACTTACTTGACTGCATGGGTCTTCGCTTTCCTGATGAGCCACGTCTGGTATGGGCTCCTCTGCTACTGCCTAGGGGTCATGACTTTCCCCCATGGTGACAAAAGTGGGCTTGCTGAGTAACTTCCCAGTAGCTATGTAGGAACAACCCTCGGTCCGAAAGGGCTTCTTGTAGCTTGTAGCTCTTCTAGCCTTTTATCGTCCTTTCACCTCTTGTATAAAAGAGGGGCCAAATAGAAAGGCGTTTTCAAAATTAGGGAATTCATGTGATTTAGGTGCCAAATCAGACATCCCTGCTGCAAGCAGCCAGCGGGTTTTGCGAATATTGGAAATATAATTGAAGGATTGACCGATAATAAGCACCGCTCTGCTGGAAGCTTTTAGAAGTGCCATTTTAGAAGCCAGTAAAGCTGGTAGGGAAGGGTTATGAGAGGATGCCTCCTTCTCTGCCTTATATAACATAAGCAGAAGGGGACCAACAGCATCTGCAATTTTAAATTGTACATTGCGAAATGTCTGATCCATGCGATCCGCAGAGACACTGCTTCCTGTAATGGATAACAGTGCTGGATCAATTTCAGGGGCCATTAGTGCCTGAATGTCAGGGATACCAATATGATTTCTAAGGAGGAGATCATCCTCTTTAACTAGCGGTGATATGAAAGCTAGTTTGGCGAAATTCCTGACTTCTGACTCTTGTTCGATGGCCCATCTTGAGTGGAATAATTTTGAAGGGAGCATTTCACCTAAAAGGCTCACACTGGTCATCTGAATGTTGCTCAACTTCCCTTGTTCAGTGGAAGCTGCGAAGCTGCAGAGCGAGCACCTCCTCGCACTCCCAATCAATCTCCGGTGATCCCTGTCTGGAACAGGACCGGCTTAGGGAGGATGAATGAGCAAACGCTCTTGAGGTGGATGGTGAGGGATTGACAGCACTCAATCAAGTCTTGTCTCTTTTGTGTGAAAACTGCTTTGAAACCTCAAACGAGGGAAACACACATTTCGCTTTTGGAGGTACCGCCCGTTAAAATGTCGACTACTCAAATGAGAGAATGAGGGGAAGAGAGACCAAAATCAACTTCATCCTCAGAACTTGAAGAGGAAAGGCAAGCCTTCTTTTTTCTTTTACTAACTGGGACTATATCCTCCTCAGAAGTTGAAGAGGATAGGTCCCTGGCAAGGGAGGCTCTCTTATGGAGCCTTCTAACGTTGATGGGGCTGTCTCTAGGAGAGACATCCACTATATCTGTGGCAGACAAAGAAATGGAGTCCTCCATCAACGTTGCCATTTTAAAATCTGAGGTGATCAGGGCTGCTGCATGCTGCACGGCTGTACTGATCACCTGTGCAGGAGCACAGCACAGCAAAATAATTCTCCAGGAGGCTGCCACATACCCACTAGCTTTGCTAGGTGGTTATGCCGCCGCTTCTTCAGTGCTAGCATGGAGATCAGCCAGCCAGGCCCATGCTAAGTCCTTAAACCACCTGAAATGAACTCTGGTTCACTCAGGGACGAGAATGCATGGGCCGGTAGGCGGTAGCTTGCAGACACTAGCAAAGCACAACTTAGGGCAATCATATGGGTTTAACTGCATTTTTTTTGGGGGGTGACTGAAGTGTAGAGATTACAGTCCATGTGTTTGTCCAGCTCAACGGTCAAGCCCTGCCCCAAGTATATTTTTAATTATTTATCTTTTTAATAATTTTTTTCATCTCTCTCATACCTCTCATAGTCGCTGGATATTATATAATGATATATAAAATCCAGTAAGAGGAAAGAAAGTAGCACTAAGACATAGGAAGATTATCAAGAATGACTTGTATCCAGGAGGGTAATTTTAACACGTGTGTATTGATATATGATTAGAGTTAGTGTTAAAGGGTTGTGAAGACTGAAGAATCTATCTTTCATCTTACACGGTGATTCACTTAATCACTGTTCCATTAGGTTACGAAGCAATTTTGTTGGAACCGCACCATCATAATTGACGGTCTTACTCTCCTTTCTTAATCCTTGTTTTTCCTTTTATTTTAATTCCCCTACTTCCCCTCCACCTTATCTTTTAGGCATACTGCTTTCTCTCTGATTTATTTTCTTGCACCGTGGCCGCACCAATCACGTGACAAGGGCCACTGTGCCATCTTGATACTCACTATTGATGGGCTGGCTTTTCTTTTCCAACCCTCATTTTTATTAATATGTAAGCCCCTTCACTCTTCCTCCAACTAATATGTTGGCCATATAGCTTCTATCCAATTTTAAATGTTTCACCGAGGATGGGCCGATGTGGGCTGCAGCTTCATCTTTATACTCCTGTCTCCTTATTCATTTTTATCTCAATATCAGCCACAGGCCTATTTTTTATTTTTTTTTATTTTAAAGCACTTATGAGGGTTGTCAATCTCTCTCTTTTTAATCTTAACATTAATCAATAAATATTATATGTCTTTAGGTTAATTACTTGACAGTCACTTGACTATGACTTCATGTGACCGATATTGTAAAATTTGTACTCGGCTATAAAAACAATAAAGGTCCTCTTGCCTGTAACACTTTGACGCCTGAAAAATAGGTAGTGTGCTACCTTACTGGGTTTCATTTGTTTTATGAGCTGTTTTCAATAAAATTTTTGATTTTTTTACTACCCTTGGATCTACTTTTATCCTGAGATTCAGATATCCTTCCTTGGTTGGGAATATACCACCTACTCCCTTTAGATTGAGCAAAACCACTTTTTGATCTACATCAATGAGTACATTTCCTATTATTTTAATATTTTTACCTGTACAATGATCACTATATTTAATTTCTTGTTTTATCCATATACACAACAGTGCGGATTTCAACTACATACATCAAAGAGCGGGATACCTATACATATACAAGAGTGGGGATTATTCAACTACAAGCTATTCAGTAGGAGCCATTAGAAGGCTCCTAAAAATGTGAGTTTACACTTGTATTTATTCACTCCATTCAGAATACTACACTATATTGGTGTTATTCTATGTTTCTTTTTTATAACTCTGGATTACCTCCCATTGAGCCAAGATACCAAGTATATATCCATAGGCTGGGATTATACCGCACAGGAATCCTAAATTAGAGCTATTTATCAGCTGTGCATTTCTTCTGGCTTAATTTACTCAAAACCATAATACACTGTATCCTACCCCTTCTCCTTTCTTCTCGTTACATATTGACCCAGATTTGGGACTCTATTTAGGCACCGCACCCCTCCTCTTCCATGCAAATCATTTATAACTGGAAAGGAGCAGATATGGTCTGGGCTGTTCAAACTGCCTACTTCATTACATAACAAGTGCTAGAAACCTACTAAACTTTATTATCCTAGGCGGATGGCGGATCCTTGGCGGATGGCAGATCCTATTAAATGCCTAAAACTGATTACTAAATGTCTAAAACTATGTCTAAAACAGGCTCCTCCCCTTTTTATATTATAACTAGGGCTCCCACCTGCCATCAATGGGTGGAGGCTGGGGGATGACACTAGGTCTTTCTCCCTTTATGATATAAGTAGGGCCCTCCCCCACTGAACACATTAAGATGCCCCCCTTTTCTTTTATAAAATAGCCCCAACCCCTGGCCACAGACTATGCCTGATCAGTGTAACTTTTACATTTTTAGAAGATATGCCCCTTCCTTGTGGTTATTTCTTAAAGACCCCCATTGGGTTTTTAGTAATGAATTTATTTATTTTTAACTTTTCCAATGTGGAAGCTGGCTAGCAAGTGCTGACCAGCTGCCACACAATTAGCCCTTGCACTGCTCGGGGTTTTGAACTATTTGCCCACTGCCAGAAAAAAAAATGTCCTTTGTATTCTGGTGTTTTTTGTTTTTTTTTGTGGATTTTTTTTTTTTTTAATGCTTTCCGTTTTGGTTTGTTTTTACTTTATTTTTTATTATTATTTATTTATCTATATTACTTATCAACGGGGGGAAAAGAAAGAAAGAAACGATTCAGGCCTTTTGTTTTTCTTACATTTGCATTTATTAATTATTGTCATATTTTTACGATCAAATCTTTCTATTATCATTGTTATTTCATCTGCTCTAATGCTCATGCAGTTGTATCTTAGTTTTTGGTGATTTCAAAGCGAGAGATTTTTCATTGTATGCAATAATGTTGCCTAAGTATTTTTAATGTATATCTTTATGCGCAATTCTCCAAAAGTTGTTAATAAGTATCATTGTCTTTATACTTTTTGCTAAACAGTAGATTTCCCATTCACTTCTATGGGGGGATGCAAACACACTTTTGTTGACTGTCTACAATACAATACTACACGCGCTCAAGTCTATTTATATTGTATTCAAGATTTAGTCTACTCACTCACTAAACACCAACTTCAAAGCTCACAAAATTTTATATGTATTTTTTTTTTCTATACAGCGCTGAACATTTTTTAAATTTTTTTTTCAGTTTTTACAGATCGTTCTTATATAAATGTTTTGTGCTTCAGATTCCCCAGGAACAATTTTAAACCCTTACCAGTTTCCTCTGGTACTGTTGTTTATGTTTCTCAACGGAACATAACGTTGGTGAAAAAAAAACACCCCCAAAGATTAGAGTAACAGCCAGAAACACCACACAGAGCTCATTTGTTTTCAGGCTACATATCAACTTTCAAGCTATGATTGCAACAATCTATATTTCCAATACAACAATTTTTTTAGTAAAGGCTTAGAAAAACAAAAGAACAAATGCTTCCTCTAACTAGCTAAAATCAGCAATTGAAAATTCAAATGTCCTAAAAGAGTCAATTGAGGAAAATATATACATGCGTTTGGTTAAGAAATGCATTTTTGTATTAATTAAAAATTGAATTGGCCATGCATGCTAGTAAATAAACTGCTATGGAATATAAGTGACATGTAATGAATTGAATCATTTCCAGGGACATTTCATTAACATGACTAATTCCATAAATATAGTTTTTAATATATATAATTTGGTGCTAGTCGTATGAGTGTGATTAGTTAGCCAAGAGAGAATTTGCCTATATGTCTTGGCTGCAAGCAGTGGTGTATTCACCGCAAAGCTAACAAGTCCCTGGGCTGCACTTTCCTTGGGGCGGCAAAAAAGCCACCCCCAAACGCCCCAGCGGATGCCTTGTTAGCCTCGTGTCCTGGGGGCCCAAGAGCTGGCCAGCTGGCCACCTTTGGGCACCGCCCGAGGCGGGCGTCAGCTTGCATTACGGTCGGGCGGCGAGGGAGTGCTGTAGTCTGAGCTCTTCCTGCTCAGCTCCCTCATGCGCCTCTTAGTGATGCCGGGAGCCAGAATATGACATCAGTATGGCTCCCAGCATCATTAAGCTGCATGCGAGGGAGCTGAGGAGGAAGATCAGAGCTCCCTCGCCGCCTACTGTGCCAGTTCGCCCCCTGCCTGCCCGCGCACCTGCCCAGCAGCACAAGCAGCCCCACTGGACCCCATGTGAGGAATCCACTCCAGCTTTCCCCCGGAGGCTGCGTGGAATTAAATTAAAATTAAAAAAAATAATAAAAATGTGTTAGTGTTGGGGGGAAGCTTTTAAGAGGTTAAAGGAAGCAAGGCTTCAGCACCTTTATCACTTGTGTGAAGGAGGCTCGGTTGTGGACTTCAAAAAACTGTCTGGGATGGTCTGCATACTCCCCCAGGGATTTTTTAGAAATGTACATATGAGAGACTACCCCAACATGGAGGAGGTAAAGTTGATAGTTAGCTGAGAACGTATCCTCT